ATTGTTCCTTCTGATTAGTCAACCCCTGAATCCATCTTTGAGCACCTTATGGCATGGAGAGAAGCTGGTCCTGTGAAGGATGTTGATCTATGTTAAATGGAAATCAAAACAAGGAGGGGGGGAAACAATATTGATGTTTTTTGCTTAAAAAGAATCTACACTGAAGGGTCCAGTTCTGACTCATGTTGGTATCAAGTTTTTCTGGAAAATGGCAAGCTGGGTCCATTAAAAGCCAAAGAAATAGAGAATGAGCTGAATATCATGATGTAGCCACCAAATGTAAGGACTGGCTGGCTTTGAGTGTTCTGCTAATGCCTTTATCAGATGTAGAAGCATTTAACAAACATTTCAAAGTAAAATGTTGTTTAATGCTGTGGCAGACTTCACACAGACAATTCATCTTCCTAAATTTGGGGGAATGTGGCATGGTTCCAAGCTCTGTCTCTGTCTACTTGTACTCCTGACCTCAGATTGCTGTGTGGGTTGGAGCAGAGGGGATCATTCCCTGCACACAATGTACCTTCACAGCAGAAGCTGAGCTTTGTTTCACCACTGGAGGTCTTTTGGGGGGGCTGAAACTTTCTTCTGGAAGGTCATGCAGGGATCAATGCAACATTAAGGAGCTGCTGTTGCCATCACAATCATTTTCTGGAGATGATGATTATCCCTTTATCTTTAGTAGTCCTAACTGGAGCTGTCATGAGTCAGGACTCCACCACCCTCCCTGTCAAGGAGGACCCCTGTTGCCAAAAGGATCCTTTAAAGGATCCAAAAAGATCCTCAAGGGCCCTTTCCTTCTGGGCTGCTTTAAAATAAATGCAACATTAAGGAGCTGCTGTTGCCATCACAATCATTTTCTGGAGATGATGATTATCCCTTTATCTTTAGTAGTCCTAACTGGAGCTGTCATGAGTCAGGACTCCACCACCCTCCCTGTTGCCAATAAAGGATCCAAAAAGATCCTCAAGGGCCCTTTCCTTCTGGGCTGCTTTAAAATAAAAAGACCTCTTCATCCATGTGCTTCCCAAAGCTCCAGATCTCCTAGTCTGATGACAGTACCAAAATGACCCTTCTAGTAGTGCCCAGGTGAATGTCTCCACCCCATGGCTTTATTCCTCATGACCTAGCCAAACATCTTGGATGCCACCAGGCCTAACAAAGTGCTTGATGTGAAGAACCTCTGAGACTCAAGAGGAGCTTTTTCCATGCTGTGGTTGCTCTTGGGAACCTTGGGCAACCTGCCTCCTTGGGGAGCATGTCATGTTTTGGGTGGATGTTGCCTTGGCTGCCTTGGGCTTGCTCAGCAGCATCTCCAAGGAGCTTACTGCCCAAAGGGAAGGCTTGAAATAGGAAGGGGGTGTGATGTGGTGGCTCTCACTGGTTTAGGACTCTTAAAAATGATTTAATTCTTTTTCAAACTGCAATAATAACAGTTGGCCTTCCATTTCTGAGAGGTTTGATAGCTTCATTGCTCTCTAAATTAAAGCTGTGAAGCATTTAAGCTTTCTCAGCACCATGGAGCAGATGTGTAGCACATCTTGTCTGGTTCTACTTCCCCCTCCTTCATGTGTGTTGGCAGAATGCTCTCAGTGTCTCCTGTGGCTGTAAAAATTTAGGAACATTATTCCTCCAAGTATCTTTGCTAGTGTGCACCAGTCTCACCTGTGTGAGTTGTGTCTCACTGCTGGATCCCCATGTAACCTGTCACTGCAAAGCTTGGAAGGTGTTGAGCACTTCAGAGGCTGTGGATAAAGGAAAAATCAGGATCTATTAAAATTTATCACAACGTTGTAAGCACCTACACTTGCTTTTAACTGTTTTAGGGGAAAAGGCTGAACCCTTAGAGGCTGCTGTTAGTAATGGGCATGGGAGAAGGGAAAGGGAATGATGCACAGCTCAGATGTCTCCTCCTCCTGCACTTCTTTTTCTATCCCCTCATATAACACACTTTACCTTTTGAGAAGCTCAGCAAATCCTAGCTTGGTCACCTGAGGACTGCCCAAACTTGGAGGACATGCTGGAAGTTTTGGTCTTTCCATCTGCAGGGAGGAGCAGTTGTGTTTGGAGGCAGCACCTGGGGCAGGAAGGACTTTTCCTGATCTTGGGCAGCACATCTCATACCACTGTTGGGTCACTTCAGCACGTTTGGGCTGAAAGCCCCTGAAGGTGTGAAGTCCATTTGGCTCCTGCAGGAGATATTTTGGCAATGCAGGCCTGTAACTGGGCTGCTGTAACATTTCCTTTTGGAAGGTGTGTGGTTGACCTGAACAGGTTCCTTTTGCCTCACTTTTAAGTGTTATTTATCCAGCTATTTTATTTTTATTCCTCTCAGTGCAACCAGATAAAGCTCAATTTCCACCTGCTCTTCTGAGCTAGGAGGACCAAGAGGAGATGGGTGCTGAGAAGTGCAAAAGCCACACATCAGAAAGATGTGGGGAAAAAGGGCAAGTTCAGCTGAAGGACAACTGCTTCATGTGTTTTAAGCTCTTAAGCAGTTTAATATTAAACCCTGCTACAACCCCTGCTCTCCTCATGCCATATCTCTTCCAGGGGACCGTGCTGTGCCAAGTCCTTGTTTCCCTGGGTGCCCCTTATCAGTGCAATGGTCCAGCCAAGGTCTGGAGAGCTGCTGTTGACCCAGAGGCAAGGCCACACCTGCACAAGGCCAGCAAAAGGGGTGTTCAGAGAGGCAGAGTGACCAGAGGAGTGTTTGTTTGCCCTGGCCTGGGGTTGGCTCATCCCACAAGCAGCAGGATGGTGTCTGGAAGGAGAAGCTGAGAGCTGTTGTAGATGGGAACCAAACACAGCAATAAGGCCTTTCCTGGTCAGGAGTTCCAGGGTGGCTTGTGCTCATCACAAGTAGGAGTGGAGAAGGGATCACTCACAGCTAGACCATGGGAGCAGCCCTGTAGAGCTGAGCCTTGGCACTCAGCAGCAGCCTGACTTCTCTCCTTTCATCCCAGTGCTCCTGGAAGGACCTCAGGAAAGGTCATTTCTTCCTCTTCATTCCTCTGCTAACTCCTCTTCATTTTCTGCAGACATCCAAAACCAGTGAATGACACCCAACAGCTTTCTCTCCTCCACTTCACCTCCCTGTCCTCCCACACACACCCTCTGGTGAGCCCAGAACAGCCTTGATAGTAAAATGTTTTTATTTACAGTGTTATTTATTACAGGAAAAAAATCAGTTTCAAAAAGTCAACGCTTCTTTCTTCAAAGTTGCAGCATTTGGAAGATGTTAAGACAGATCTGAAGAATTTCTCCCATACCTGATTCCAGCCTTCCTGGCCACTCTGGATCTGCAAGGTGAGACCATCTTGGATTTGACCATTTATTTTTCCTTTCCTGTTATTTTTTTTTCCCCCTCAGCCCTTCAAGTTTCAAGTAAGGCATTTATTTCTGTTTCTTTTGAATGTGGTTTCAACAAAACAAAATTATCTGTGGTTTTGGTCACCATAGTAAACTTTTAACAGCATGCTGGTGCTGTCCACCTTCATAGTCAAGTGCATGCTTTGCCATCAAAAGGTTGGGGACTCTACTCAGCCTAAAATCCACATTTTGTCACCTGCCTTAGACAAATGGTCCAGCTCGTGGTGTGTGTCATCTTCTCAACTCTTCCAATCCCCTCTGCCTTTACCCTAGTTTCTAGTCTCAAGCTGATGTCTGCAGAGTTCTGAAGGTCTCTCTTTACTTAAGGCCATGTCCAACACCTTCAGTCAAACCCACTCATTTCTTACCACTTGTAAGTTTTACACCAGCACTGGTGAGGCAGCAGCTCAAATCCTGGGGGCAGTTCTGGGCCACTCACTACAAGAAGGACATTGAGGGGTTGGAGCGTGTCCAAAGAAGGACAAGTGTGGGGAGGAGCAGCTGAGGGAGCTGGGGGTGCTGAGCCTGGAGCAAAGGAGGCTCAGGGGAGACCTTCTGGCTCTGCACAGCTCCCTAAAAGGAGCTTGGAGCCAGGGGGGGGTCGGGCTCTTCTCTCAAGGAACAAGGGACAGGACAAGAGAAAATGGCCTCAGGTTGTGCCAGGGGAGGTTTAGGTTGGATATGAGGAAAACTTTAACTTTGGCATCAACTCTTCACATTTACACTCAATTATAGAATCATTAAGGTTGGAAAAGACCTCCAAGATCATCCAGTCCAACCATCAACCCAACACCACCACGACTACTAAACCATGTTGATTTATCTTCATGAAGTTGTTGAGCTCCTCTTTCTTTCAACATCAATTTACTCTGAACTCCTGCTAATTTAGCACATCCAGAATTGTTTGTGGTCTGACTGGAGCTCAAACCCCTGTGTGATCTGGTGATATCATGAATTCTAAACACCAACATTGGGCAGCCCCAGGTGCCACCAGCCCAAGCCCCCTGCAAGGGCCATCTCCTGCCAGCCTTTGTGGTGTCTGAGTTGGGCTGCACATACATGAAGCAACTCAGCATGGTGCATGTGTGGCTGGGGTGGTGCCCCTGGGCTCCTACAGGACCAAAGGGATGGTTGCACCTTGCTCTTGTCCACGGGAGGGTTTGGGAAATGGCTGGGGAGTAGCAGAGAGGGGTCTGGTGATGGAAAAGGTATGATCCTCCTCTTTTCTTTTTTTTTTCCTCTTCCTCCTCTTTTTCCTGACCTTGGCCACAGCTGGGTTCACTGTGGAGCCTTGTCTCAGGACCTCCTGCAGGCCCAGGAGGAGCTCACTGGCAGTCTGAAGAGAGTCCCAACCTTTTGGAGGCAGGGATGGATTGATCCATGGGGTGTCCCGTAAGGCGTTTTTGTGTCAGCTTGAGAGATCAGAAAAGTTTTTCTTTTTCAGGTGAGAAAGACCTTGGCCTTTGTTGTTCTGATGGTGACCTTTGAGAGGACAAGTCATTCTACTCATTTTGTTAAAATTTAAGTAGCAGTACATTAATAAATGTCTGGTACAAAGAGCTGATAAACGTAATCAAATAGTTTTAAGCTAAAGCTTCTCATTCAGTCTTTTTTTTTTTTTTGTCTTTTTCTTAGAAAAAAGTCACAGGAAATATTTATTGTGCTTTCTTAGTGCTCAGGAATCCATTGGCAGCAGCAAAGTAGTCCTTGTGGAAACCATTCTTGAGTTCTGTTGGGGCAGGGCTTTCCTTCACAGCTGTTCTTGAAGGTGCTTTCCGGTACGTCTAGAACAGCAAAATCCAAAGTCAATATTTGGATTTTTTATTTAGTGCCCCCCAAACTCTGCTTAGGGGTAACAGCAAAATGGGGCTGTCTGCTCCTTGTTGATGCAGATGTCTTTGTCTCAGACTGTTAAGGGGCCTGTATTATTTTCACTGCCAAGAGTGATGTTGCCTTACTAGTATCACTGTAATACTTCTTGATGTCTGAAGAGATTTTAAGCCCTTTTGGCTAGAAGCTGTTTGCACTCCTGGCTAGAAAAGGTTGAAATAAACAATAGAAAGATAGAACTGCTTGGGTTTTTAATTCCCAAGGAAGGAGGAAGACTCAAAAAGTTGCCCAAGAGAGCAAATTCAGACCTCCTAAGTCCTGACTGTGGTCCCTCAGAGGAGCTGAGCTGTTGTGGGGAGGTCACCACTCCTGAAGAGCTGGCTCTTGAAGCAACTATGGCACCTGTCCTCCTCAACCAACATATATTTTAATACAAGCATATTTTAAGCACTGATGCTCATTCTATATGTGAGTTCTTCAAAACTGCTAGCCAAAAACCCATCATCTTTTTCCCCCCCACCCCTATCAGAGAGCTCTTGGAAGGCTGCTCACCTTAATGTAGAAGTTTATGAAGAGAACGACCAGCGTGGCCATGTAGGAGGACTGGAACATGAGGCAGCCAAAGGGGAATCCACAGGGCTTCACAGCTGCACTGAGGGTGTGCACAATGGTCAGCAGAAACTGGATCTGTGGAGAGAGAACCTCTGTGAGTGCTGGTTGAGGAAGGGTTGGGGCCAGACAAATCAGATAGAACATCACCCAGCCCTGCTCTTTGGAAGCTGGAGTGCTCTTGAAAACTATCCCTTGGAATATCTCTTCAATATATTGCATGTTGGTGAAGATATTGATTGTGAAGGTCAAGTTAAAATAGTGTTCTTATGAAAATTTAAAATAACAAAATCCAAAGAAACACCATCAGGGGTCAGAGCTCTAAAAATAGGAGTTTACAAACCCAGCTGGCAAAATGAAAGCTCTTTCTCTCTTTCTTTTTTAATAGTATTTGTTGTATTTTCCAGACCATGCCATGCCAGGTTCAGCATTGTCTCTGTTGCTGGGCAGAAACTGGAGAAAACTCTGAAGATTTCAAGCAATGGCTTTAGAAATCTGACCAGAAAATGGAGATCCCAGCTCTGAAAAGTTTGGGTAGGCTGGTGTTTGCATTCATGGAGTAAAGATGGGGGCAAATGAAGCAAGGATGAGATGGAGAAGGACCTGCAGAAAGGCTGGCTGTGTTTGGGACTGTGAACCACAGCCCTGGCTGGTGCATCAGGTTCTCCTTGACCTCAACCTAGCATTCTGGGCTGCATTTCAAACAGGGCAGCATGTTTCAGCTGCAGAGAAGGGCTCAGCTTGGAGAGGCATTTCCTGAATACATTTCTACACAGGCATTTTTAAGCTCACTGCAGACATCCAAACTCCCAACCAAGGGCCTAAGATAAAAAAAAGTGAGAGGAACTTGGTTTCACATCAAGCCTCCTATCTTGTTGATAGAAGCTGTTGATGTGGCTCAGCTCTTTGGGGTCAGCGCCTGCGGGGGTAAGG